CAAAGCGTAACTCGTTCTTTATTACGACTGTTTTCCACGGTTTAAAGTGTTGTCAGCACTATGGAATAGCTTGAAACACAACTGAGAGTGTGGGAATGATGCTATCAAACGAGTAACGCTGCAGGATTCATTATCCATTTCACTTACAATAAAATAAACCAATAAACAATAATGCCATTTTTTATAAAGATATTTATACAATGCATTTGTCTATGAATACTCGTTTCAAGATCATGAGAAGCATGAATTGTGTAATCATTTTCACTCATCCGAAACCATTATTGCTCACTAAACGCAGTAGAAATGGTGGAACAGTGCCAGGGTCAAGTTACACTCATTATAAAACACTGCTCTTTCACCTCATGACCCCAGCAGCAGCAGCCTGAACTCATTGTGAAAGCGCAGCGCGGAGGTAAAAGGCCAGTATAAAGAGTGAAGGCAGAGCAGTTTTGTGCCATTACCCTGTGAGAACACTTTAGATCGTCACATTAAATGTGCGCTCAACTTGCACGTCATATAAATGCATCTGCATGTTTGGAATGATTTAAATCAGAAGTGTTGTCCTCTGTCCAAACGGATGAACTGATTGTGTGGCTCGTGTGTTCAAGGCTCACTGGGGTTACATTTGCTCACAAACAGACGCCCACCTGCGCTGATAAAGAAGGTCCGCTGTTTGCTGTTTGTTAATGTCTGCAGTGAGATTTGGCCTCACGTCCAGCAAACCTCAAAGTTAAGAGTTAATATCAATAAAATACAAATCATGCACAGATTCTGTCAACATTCATTGTAGGATGTAAGCTTGTGTCACATATTCTTTTCACTGCACACTGGTGAGTGTCTGGATGGTGGCAGAGATTCACACTCCCGTGTGAGTGAGTGAGTGTGTGTGTGCGTGTGCGTGAGTGTGTGTGTGTGTGAGTGAGTGAGTGAGTGTGTGTGTGTGCGTGTGTGTTTGAGTGTGTGTGAGAGAGTGTGTGTGTGTGAGTGAGTGAGTGAGTGTGTGTGTGTGCGTGTGTGTTTGAGTGTGTGTGAGAGAGTGTGTGTGTGTGAGTGAGTGAGTGAGTGTGTGTGTGTGCGTGTGTGTTTGAGTGTGTGTGAGAGAGTGTGTGTGTGTGAGTGAGTGAGTGAGTGTGTGTGTGTGCGTGTGTGTTTGAGTGTGTGTGAGAGAGTGTGTGTGTGTGAGTGAGTGAGTGAGTGTGTGTGTGTGCGTGTGTGTTTGAGTGTGTGTGAGAGAGTGTGTGTGTGTGAGTGAGTGAGTGAGTGTGTGTGTGTGCGTGTGTGTTTGAGTGTGTGTGAGAGAGTGTGTGTGTGTGAGTGAGTGAGTGAGTGTGTGTGTGTGCGTGTGTGTTTGAGTGTGTGTGAGAGAGTGTGTGTGTGTGAGTGAGTGAGTGAGTGTGTGTGTGTGCGTGTGTGTTTGAGTGTGTGTGAGAGAGTGTGTGTGTGTGAGTGAGTGAGTGAGTGTGTGTGTGTGCGTGTGTGTTTGAGTGTGTGTGAGAGAGTGTGTGTGTGTGAGTGAGTGAGTGAGTGTGTGTGTGTGCGTGTGTGTTTGAGTGTGTGTGAGAGAGTGTGTGTGTGTGAGTGAGTGAGTGAGTGTGTGTGTGTGCGTGTGTGTTTGAGTGTGTGTGAGAGAGTGTGTGTGTGTGAGTGAGTGAGTGAGTGTGTGTGTGTGCGTGTGTGTTTGAGTGTGTGTGAGAGAGTGTGTGTGTGTGAGTGAGTGAGTGAGTGTGTGTGTGTGCGTGTGTGTTTGAGTGTGTGTGAGAGAGTGTGTGTGTGTGAGTGAGTGAGTGAGTGTGTGTGTGTGCGTGTGTGTTTGAGTGTGTGTGAGAGAGTGTGTGTGTGTGAGTGAGTGAGTGAGTGTGTGTGTGTGCGTGTGTGTTTGAGTGTGTGTGAGAGAGTGTGTGTGTGTGAGTGAGTGAGTGAGTGTGTGTGTGTGCGTGTGTGTTTGAGTGTGTGTGAGAGAGTGTGTGTGTGTGAGTGAGTGAGTGAGTGTGTGTGTGTGCGTGTGTGTTTGAGTGTGTGTGAGAGAGTGTGTGTGTGTGAGTGAGTGAGTGAGTGTGTGTGTGTGCGTGTGTGTTTGAGTGTGTGTGAGAGAGTGTGTGTGTGTGAGTGAGTGAGTGAGTGTGTGTGTGTGCGTGTGTGTTTGAGTGTGTGTGAGAGAGTGTGTGTGTGTGAGTGAGTGAGTGAGTGTGTGTGTGTGCGTGTGTGTTTGAGTGTGTGTGAGAGAGTGTGTGTGTGTGAGTGAGTGAGTGAGTGTGTGTGTGTGCGTGTGTGTTTGAGTGTGTGTGAGAGAGTGTGTGTGTGTGAGTGAGTGAGTGAGTGTGTGTGTGTGCGTGTGTGTTTGAGTGTGTGTGAGAGAGTGTGTGTGTGTGAGTGAGTGAGTGAGTGTGTGTGTGTGCGTGTGTGTTTGAGTGTGTGTGAGAGAGTGTGTGTGTGTGAGTGAGTGAGTGAGTGTGTGTGTGTGCGTGTGTGTTTGAGTGTGTGTGAGAGAGTGTGTGTGTGTGAGTGAGTGAGTGAGTGTGTGTGTGTGCGTGTGTGTTTGAGTGTGTGTGAGAGAGTGTGTGTGTGTGAGTGAGTGAGTGAGTGTGTGTGTGTGCGTGTGTGTTTGAGTGTGTGTGAGAGAGTGTGTGTGTGTGAGTGAGTGAGTGAGTGTGTGTGTGTGCGTGTGTGTTTGAGTGTGTGTGAGAGAGTGTGTGTGTGTGAGTGAGTGAGTGAGTGTGTGTGTGTGCGTGTGTGTTTGAGTGTGTGTGAGAGAGTGTGTGTGTGTGAGTGAGTGAGTGAGTGTGTGTGTGTGCGTGTGTGTTTGAGTGTGTGTGAGAGAGTGTGTGTGTGTGAGTGAGTGAGTGAGTGTGTGTGTGTGCGTGTGTGTTTGAGTGTGTGTGAGAGAGTGTGTGTGTGTGAGTGAGTGAGTGAGTGTGTGTGTGTGCGTGTGTGTTTGAGTGTGTGTGAGAGAGTGTGTGTGTGTGAGTGAGTGAGTGAGTGTGTGTGTGTGCGTGTGTGTTTGAGTGTGTGTGAGAGAGTGTGTGTGTGTGAGTGAGTGAGTGAGTGTGTGTGTGTGCGTGTGTGTTTGAGTGTGTGTGAGAGAGTGTGTGTGTGTGAGTGAGTGAGTGAGTGTGTGTGTGTGCGTGTGTGTTTGAGTGTGTGTGAGAGAGTGTGTGTGTGTGAGTGAGTGAGTGAGTGTGTGTGTGTGCGTGTGTGTTTGAGTGTGTGTGAGAGAGTGTGTGTGTGTGAGTGAGTGAGTGAGTGTGTGTGTGTGCGTGTGTGTTTGAGTGTGTGTGAGAGAGTGTGTGTGTGTGAGTGAGTGAGTGAGTGTGTGTGTGTGCGTGTGTGTTTGAGTGTGTGTGAGAGAGTGTGTGTGTGTGAGTGAGTGAGTGAGTGTGTGTGTGTGCGTGTGTGTTTGAGTGTGTGTGAGAGAGTGTGTGTGTGTGAGTGAGTGAGTGAGTGTGTGTGTGTGCGTGTGTGTTTGAGTGTGTGTGAGAGAGTGTGTGTGTGTGAGTGAGTGAGTGAGTGTGTGTGTGTGCGTGTGTGTTTGAGTGTGTGTGAGAGAGTGTGTGTGTGTGAGTGAGTGAGTGAGTGTGTGTGTGTGCGTGTGTGTTTGAGTGTGTGTGAGAGAGTGTGTGTGTGTGAGTGAGTGAGTGAGTGTGTGTGTGTGCGTGTGTGTTTGAGTGTGTGTGAGAGAGTGTGTGTGTGTGAGTGAGTGAGTGAGTGTGTGTGTGTGCGTGTGTGTTTGAGTGTGTGTGAGAGAGTGTGTGTGTGTGAGTGAGTGAGTGAGTGTGTGTGTGTGCGTGTGTGTTTGAGTGTGTGTGAGAGAGTGTGTGTGTGTGAGTGAGTGAGTGAGTGTGTGTGTGTGCGTGTGTGTTTGAGTGTGTGTGAGAGAGTGTGTGTGTGTGAGTGAGTGAGTGAGTGTGTGTGTGTGCGTGTGTGTTTGAGTGTGTGTGAGAGAGTGTGTGTGTGTGAGTGAGTGAGTGAGTGTGTGTGTGTGCGTGTGTGTTTGAGTGTGTGTGAGAGAGTGTGTGTGTGTGAGTGAGTGAGTGAGTGTGTGTGTGTGCGTGTGTGTTTGAGTGTGTGTGAGAGAGTGTGTGTGTGTGAGTGAGTGAGTGAGTGTGTGTGTGTGCGTGTGTGTTTGAGTGTGTGTGAGAGAGTGTGTGTGTGTGTGAGTGTGCGTGTGAGAGTGTGTGTGTGTGAGAGTGTGTGTGTGTGTGTGTGAGTGAGTGTAAGTAAACTATAATAAATTATTAGGCGTTTTCTAATAGTGTTCACCAACATTACCCAAGAAAATATATATATGATGTGGGAGAAATATCATTTATTCTGTGGACTGTAAGACCATGTCTAGAACACAGACAGTGAACATCCCAGCAGCCAAACAGCAGAAGTTCATGGGTTGATGAGTTTCCCGCAGCTGTGAGTCCCTCGGGACACGCTTCTCTTCATACATGCACTCCAGGAACGAGTTCAAGACGGAAACATCTCATCCAGAGGAGCAATAACTCAGGGGTTAGCTGTGTTAACAAAAATATCTCTCTACAGTACTTTATTGCTCCAATAAGAAAATAAAAGTTTTTTTTATTATTATTTAAAAACATTCTAAAATAAGCTTTTGCAGTTTTATATAGAAATACAACAAAACCAAAGACATACATTACAACCAATGCAATTAATGAACATTATACAAAATAAAGTTACATTGTAAAAAGAAAAAAAAACTAAACACTTAAATTATTCCATTGTATCTCTCCTATGACATCAATCCTGGGGTAGAAACACATACTGGACAACGAGCGGAGCGGTTAAAGGGCCCCGGGGCCAGACGCGTCTGCATTACACATCGACTCCAGATTTACACAAGGACACGGAGATATTTCATTAATAGACCGTCAGTCAGACTTACACAGTTTAGAGTTAATAGGTTTCAAGCGGCTGTTTCTGCAATAGTGCCGCTGAATAATCATGTTGGGTTCCTCAGAGAACCTTTCAGTGATCAGCTCCTTAAAAGTCCCGTGCTTAAATACAGTGATGGACTACATATGAGCCGCAGCTAGGACCCTTTGGAGTGAGGGTCGGCGCTGGGTGGGGGCTCTAAGTGAGGATCCTCTGGCTCCGAATGCTGCTCGTGATGCTGCGTTTGCTCGTGTGGCTCTCGGCTGGGAGAATGCCGTACCTCCTCGTCTTTCTCACGGATCAGCTTCTCTGTCTCGGTGTCGGTGGCGCCGGGCACCATGGGAATGGGGAAGTCGGTGCCGCTCTCCCTGGTCAGTTTGCTGCTCGGAGCAAAACAGCACAAGCATGCATGAGAGCATGAGAACTGCTGTCGCAAACGGCAGCCGCACAAGCATTGCACACAAATCAAGTGCTTCAGAAGCAATACAGCAAACAATCCCATGTTCATTAGAGCTAGAGTACAAAAAGTAAGCTGCTGATATTTAATTAATTGTGTGTAAATATATATATATATATATGTGTGTGTGTGTGTGTGTGTTTGTGTGTGTATATATATATATATATTAACTTCCTAACGTGTTGTAGTGACGTAATATTTAGCAGTGTTCTAGGATGTGCAGGTAAATCTGTAAAGGGGACAGGAAGGGACGTGGGTGGCTCGTCAAACCTGACAGTAATGTGATGTGTGACTGAAGCGTGCGAGCGCGTGCGTACTTGCGGTTGCGCTCCTTCACCACCATGCGGGTCATGCTCTGGATGCAGTGCGCTCGGTAGTTCTCGTAGTGTGTTTCCCGGGTCACGTCCTTCAGATCCTGCATGTGTGATCGGACCAACATGTTCCTCAGCTTCACGAAGTCACAGTGCGCGGGGTTCTCCACTGTCCAACAAACACACACACAGTACATATCCAGTCTGCTAATGATCATGAAATATGATGAATATCTTCATTTGGTCTTGTAAATGTAAAGAATTCGGTAAGCCCTGTATGCTTGACTGGTTTTGCAGATGGTGGGAAATGTTTTTAAAGTCGTGTTTGTTGTCAGGATCATACCTTCTACAATTCCCCAGGGGTACAGACGTCCTCGAACCCTCTTGCCTTTGGCTTCCACTACTGTGTTACTGCCGATCACAGCGAAGGGAATGCTGTCCTGAGGGAGGAGAACCATTAGACGACCGTCTCAACACAAACCACGCTTTCCACAAACAGCCCGTACCAAAACACTAAGTCACACAGCGCGGGGTGCTCCACTGTCCAACACACACACACACACACACACACACACACACACACACACACAGTACATATCCAGTCTGCTATTGATCATGACATAGGATGGTTATCTTCATTTGGTCTTGTAAATGTAAAGAATTCGGTAAGCCCTGTATGCTTGACTGGTTTTGCAGATGGTGGGAAATGTTTTTAAAGTCGTGTTTGTTGTCAGGATCATACCTTCTACAATTCCCCAGGGGTACAGACGTCCTCGAACCCTCTTGCCTTTGGCTTCCACTACTGTGTTACTGCCGATCACAGCGAAGGGAATGCTGTCCTGAGGGAGGAGAACCATTAGACGACCGTCTCAACACAAACCACGCTTTCCACAAACAGCCCGTACCAAAACACTAATAAACTTAAAGTGCCTCTATTATGGGTAATGAAAGGTTCATATTTTGGTTTTGGGAGTCCCCACCAACAGGTTGGCATGCATTGAAGGTCAAAAAACGCTTTCATTGTCTTATAACAGTGTTACTCCTTGTGCGGCTCGCCAAGCTTTAATGTGTGGCTCGCATGGCAGATGGCAGTAAATAATGCGATGATATGATCAATACAGATATTTAATAAAAACATTAAAAACAAGCAGGGCTAAAACTAAGCCATTTAAAAAACTCACACCGTGTCTACACTGGACGCGAGCGTCGTGATGCGACGCAACAAAAGACAATAGAACCCATTTTAATTATGGCCCTATGATTTCTGCGATGCGGAAAACGCGGCCGGAATTGCGGAATCCAGTCATAAAAACAGAATTTTCTGTATAACGCAGAATGTCACGGAATTTGTCAAAGTTTGGGTGAATAAATCAAAAGCAGGTCATTACACTTAAATCAAATCGCAATATTGACTGGTATCTGTAAATATTAAGCTGCAAAAACACCATTTAAATATGAATCCTGCATGTCTCTTTATGAATGAATGGCACAGACGCGCGGTTTCGTTTACTACACACATACTGCGGTCTCGCTAAATGAGAACATAAATAGCCTACATGAACAACATGTGTCTGCTCTATTATAAATAATTTATATGTTAAAAATACCCAAAACAGCGGAATTACAAGATGGAAATATAGACTAGAAAGATATTTAAACTTGCTCTGCCCTTACGTCCATGACATTGACTCACTGCCGAGTTGTTTTGGCAATCTTTCCAGCTCTTAACGCCGAATGTGCTCTTATGGTTTGATACATGATGGGTTAATGTAGAAGCAAATAACTTTAAATAAATAACTTTTAAAAATAAACCCCTTTGTATTGCATTGCATATGGTATGTTCAGGGATGACAGATTGAGAAGCAGACATGCTATTTATGACTGGCTGTAACTTTTCATACTTTGCAGTAAAAGTGGCTCTCCTATTAACTTTGTCCTATAAGTGCGTTGCTTGTGAAAAAATAGTGAAGATCACTGTCTTATAATATGCATTTATTTTTACCTTACTTGCTCAATGACTCCCAAACGATTCGCTCAACGGTTCATTTTTCCAAACCCCTGCTTTGCGTGACGCTAATCTGCGGTGATTGGTGCGATTGGTCTCATGTTCATTTCATCTCGCCTGTAACGCCTGATAAAGCAGCGTTTGTGAGCGCAGTGCTGCTTTGTGTACAGTGTTACCGGGGAAACCGATATTTTACCGCAAAGAATTAATTAGCATTTTCATTCAGACCAACGCGAAAAGACCAACAAGTGGGCGTCCAAATGAAACGGCTTGTGATTCGTTTTAAAAAGACTAGTTTCAATGATTCAGAGTCGACCTTCTTTTGAGATAAAATAACTTTATAGACGGTGCACTTTCAGATTTAAAACTTTGCAGGATGCTTTCATTCACTCAGAGCTGTGTTACACACTGCATGAACGGTAGTTTACAAAAATCCACAATAGGGGCACTTTAATGTTTGATTAGTAATATGCATTGCTAAGAACTTAATTTGAACAACTTTAAAGATGATTTTCTCAATATTTAGATGTTTTTGCACCCTCAGATTCCAGATTTTCAGCCAAATATTGTCCTCTCCTAACAAACCATACATCAATGGAAAGCTTATTCATTCAGCTTTCAGATGATGCATACATCTCAATTTACAAAAATTTACCCTTATGTCTGGTTTTGTGGTTCAGGGTCATCATCTCATTTTATCGTCTGCATAGTTACACATTTGAAAATATGTGTGATGGTATTTAAGAAAAATACCTGAAACATTTACTGAAAACAAGAACTTTGGACAGCTGGATGTCTTTTCTGACCTTGAGCTCTTGGTCTTGCTGTTTGAAGTCCTCATCCTCGTCTGAATCACAGTCTGGAAACTGGTAGATCTTTATTCCGTACTGCTCGATCTCCTCTCGGATCTGAAGGGTTTGACACTGAAATAAGTCCACGGCACATCTGTACACACACGTGACAGATCTGGACAGCTTGAGCACTTGCCTTGATTTTCTTCTTCTTGACCTCCGCTGGGGTGAGCGTGTCAGCTTTAGCTAGTACAGGAACAATGTTGACCTTCTCATGAAGAGCCTTCATAAACTCCACATCCAGAGGCCGTAACCTGACACACCAACACACATTAACCACTCTCACAACAGAGCAAACTACTGCGTGTCAAGACAGACTTTAAATTATAGCTTAAATAAAGCCCCGTCCTAAAGTTTTAACCTGCTTAAAATGTCATTTGAAGGTGATATTTACAGTAATTTACATTCTGAATTCATTTTGAACAGAGATTCATGTCACTCCTCAGACAGCAATAACAGCATTTGGCCAGCAGAGGGCACAGACAGATCATTTACTGTGTCGTATGCCTGAAACAAGAGATGGACTGTTTCAGTGTCGTCCAGTAAAAACTCTATTATGACTCTAAAATATGAGCTGCTGGGTCAAGGGTCTGGAAGAACTATTTCTCAACTATTTATCAAGCTCTTGATCTTGTTGCTCTTCAATTTCAAACAACACGTAAAAGCCATTGTGGTAACAAACATGTGGAACAAAAATAAGTGATATAAAAAGTATACTTGGACTAAATAGAAATGTGCATATGTAACATTAAAATTAGTGATAATGCATGATCAGATTATTGCATTAGTGCATGAAGTGTCCAACCTTGTTTTTTAGGTGAAGTGCATCATCCAGACATTTGAAGGGCACTTTTTCTTTTTGTAATTTTAATTTTTAACACACTTATCAACTGTTTAGAAGAACAGCATAGAATAGCGCATAAGTATGTGAACTGGGACACACATGTGCCCTCTGGAGCGAGCGAGTGTTAGCACATCAAGAACACAATAGCAGGATCTGACGGATCAGCCTTCACGGGGTTCGAATATAAGCTTTAACCACTGCACCACAGCACCACGGTGAAGATACCCCCCTCTGATCAGATCTAGAGTACCGCTGGTGGCACTCGTACCCGTGACCGAAGGGCGAGATGAAGTACAGGCAGCAGTGCACGCGGTTATCCTGGATGTTCTTGCGGTTCAGTCCGCTCTCGTCCCTGAAGTACTGCTCAAACTGCTGGTCGATGTAGTCTGCCACCGACTTCCAGCTGAACACAAAACACACAGATCAAAAACAGTAAGAGATTTCTCACAGTACCAGCATTATACATCATGGTAGTATTAGATGTATCAAATCACTGTCTTGCAGTATCGAGGATCTACTGAGATCACCAATCAGAAACCCTCAAGCCCTTTATGTACCATTCAGTGTTATTGACGGCGTCCCCGAATCCTGGTGTGTCCACGATAGTGAGCTTCAGCTTGACGCCCTTCTCCTCGATGTCCACCGTGTGTTTGGTGATCTCCACCGTCTGAGTGATCCTCTCTGCCAACACAGTGATTATTATTAGATTATTATACAGTAAAGGGAAGTGACAGCCGCCAGAGATGAGCCTCACCTTCAGCATTGAGCAGATTTCTGTCTTTGTAGAGATCTGTTAGGAACAGACTGTTGACCAGGGTGGACTTTCCCAAACCTGACTCTCCTGTGAGGAAGAAAAACACCACCATCATCATCAACAACACCAGTGACATTAAAGCTACAGTTCACCCAAAAATGTATGTTCTCTCATCCCTCCTCACACTAGGCCTGATGTGGGTAATAGAGTACAATCTAGTCACTGCCCGTCGTATCGGAAAGAATGTGAAGGTTTGAGAGATGCAGTGGAGTGGATGATTTCAGTGAACAACAGCTTCAATATTAGTAAGTGGAACAGAGCAGCGTGGACTAAATTATTTTTGGGCGAGCTATACCATTGATATGCAGAACAGAAGAACACACACGTTCACATTGTTTGTTCAGTGGATGTTGAAATTACCTGCTACCATTAAAGTGAAGTCAAAGCCCTTCTTCACAGATTTGCGGTGAACCTGGTTTGGCAAAGTCGCAAAGCCCACATACTCCTTGTCATGGTCCTACCAAGAAAAAACAATAAGAGGGCAAGCAAGAGAGAATACAAAATGTTAAAGAGTATTAAAAAGATCACTGAGCAGATAAATTAAAGGAATAAAAAATAAATTTGTAATATTTTAAAATGAGAATACAAAAATATTAATAAACAATATATAATCCCTGTAATGATGCATAAATGTATAACGTACTAACTACTCTTATAAAAAATAACATTAAAAAAAAGTAGTTGATAGAGAGATGACCCAAGAAGCAAAAAAGCAAAAAATACCCCTTCGGTATAGTGAAATGTCAGTCTTCATTCTGTCGGCTGTGTCTCTTATCATCATGCTTTATAACACCAGCAGCAGCAGGAGCTGACACACATTGAGCGTTTCTCTCTGGGAGGCAAACCACAGGTGCCAGGCTTTGGGTGGAGCGTCATAAACCCAAAAAGAGCTTTACGCCTTTCATTATCATCCTTTACACACATGCTATAGACCACCAACAGGATCCACTTAAAAACATGTAATTAAAATGCAAGGACGTGACACATGAAACACAAGCTCAAGAACAAAAATACGGTTCTAATTCAGAAACATAAAACCAACACAAGGTAACTGCTGTATGGGTGCTACTGAGATCCCTCAGAAAACAGTCCTGTGCCAGTAGTGTGATATAGTGATGGTGCTGGATGGAAATAATATCACAGTATTTTGATATGTACCATGGTACTGAAGGATTCAAAGAATACTATGGTACATTCCAACATAGTAATACAGTGCTTTTAGGTTAGTCGTTCGGAGTGGTATTTTGGGGTGTTTGCGCAAAGACTCTCATGAGGGAATCAAACCCTGGCTATCCCTGCATGCTTTACCTCAGTCGAGTCATAGGGGTCATAGCAGCCCCAGGGGCTCTTAGGCCTGGATGGGCTGATGGAAGACGCCAGGCTAAAGTCCACTCGGCCCCGCTGAGCCCCGCATCTGGACTCGTGCTCTGTGTCTCCGGGGCCCCTGAGCGCCGCCGCGGGCCTCAGGAAGGAGGGCATCCCTGGGGTGTGGGGTCTGCTGTGACCCTCGCCCTCACTATCAGCCCTATGGGGCCCGTGGTGGGCCAGCGGGTGATGTCCCATGATGTGCTCCAGCTCCGAGTCCTCCGAGTCTTCCTTAGGGAAGTGCTGAGGTCAGGAGGGTCGGGACAGAACACACGGGCAGGTGCGAGAGTGGTTTAATATGGAAAATTAAGGTCATGGAGAAGAGAAGCAAAAAGAGAATAGACCATTTAGAGGTTAGATACAAAACACTGTGCATGTCCTTACAAAAGATTACCATAGTAAATACCTACTATCTACTAGCAGCCCAGTAAATCACCTTTAGTGAAACATTTTGCCAAAAATCAAGGTTACCATGGTAAAAGTTTGACAAGGTTTTATGAATTCAAGAAAAGCACATTAGTAGTAAAAGGAGTGTTCCTGAGGAAGATGACACTGGACAGCACACATCTACATGACCGCTGTTAGTGTCCACACGGGACGAGAGACACCAGACACACACAGAACAGAACACAGCGATACTCTCTGTGCTGATTATTGCTAATAATGACAGGACCCATGCTGCTGTCTATCCACAGCAGACATATGAACGATAGAGAAGTTCTGTTCAACACATCCACCACGCTCACGCTCTGGCTTTATGCTCTTTAACTTTTTCTCCACCAGCGTTTTTGAAAAACAGTTGCCAGCCACTGCCAGCATTTTTGATGATTTTCACTAAAATTTCATGGCACCCAGAAACTTTTGTTGTATGAATATCTGAACATGCAATAAATCAAAATAAAGAAGAGAGTCGCTACTTTTAAACAAAAAAACTTTATTCTAGCTTCAAGCATTCTTTCTTTTTTTTTTAAATCAACACTTGAATGTAAGTAAGTTTTTATGCAAAGTTTGGACATTTTCACTATCATAAAATGGTGAAAAAAAGGAAATATTTGCTCTTTTGGTTGAAGAACTCCTAGGAAGAGTACAAGAATAGTTTAGAAGTGTTGTATTTACTAGTCTACTAATTTTACATGGCGCTACAGCTACCAAGAATTAAAATGTGGAAAAGTGTGGAATTTAAGGATACAAAGAGCATCATTTTATAAGAAAAAGGCATGAACACGTCACACACTCACATTTATTATAACAGACATGAATTCAAAAGTTGTGGAGATGCAAACTCTTCTTTTATCTGTCTGCACAAACGAGATCCAGTTTAATTGCACAGGCATTTGAAGGAAATGAGCAGCAGATCAGACAGACTATTACATAGCTGTGCGCCAACAGCCACAAAAACACACAAACACACCACCGCTGAGCTTGAACCTGGACTGGGACAGAGGACAGCGGACACGAACGCTTTACTCACTGACAGTATGTCTGAAAGATAAGAGGGTGCCAAACCATTCAAGGATTTAAACACAAAAGGTCATATTTTAAAGTTTACAATAATTTACAACTCCAGTTGGAGTAACATGTACACGGGTCAAAAGTCCAGCAGACCATTTGGAGCTGTGCAAAGAAACATTGATTTATTCCTATGTATAAAGAGTTGCAGGAATCAATTTAAGATGAAACAAAAAAATGCAAGGCTGACTCTCTCAAAATCATTAAAACACATATTTGTTTGTCAAACTTAGGGAAAGAATCAAATATGACCCATGTCTGGACTCATACAGTGCACCAAATTAGCAAGTTTAAGATTAATAATGCCTTTAGAAACTGAGGCCCAAAACAAGAACTTCAGTCTTCATCGGTTCTTCAATTCTCATTAAAATTTAAAGATACCCCAGATCTAATATCCTGCAGACAGGCAAGCAATAATCCGAAACCTTTCTTGTCACGCTTCTCAAAGGCAAATAAACTGAAGTGTCTAATAGTGCTATACTGTAGAACGCAGTTTACAATGAGATCAAGTCCAGAATATCCTGGAAATGTTCAGGAACTTTGGTGCAGAAAATATATCTAAATAGCCACCTTTGAGTCGGTGAAGAGAAAGCAGGTCATCAGAGCGCTTGTCTGTCAGGTTACTGTGGTCAAACCTGCTCAGCCACGCATGAAGACTTCAGCGCTGTGAGCATGGACTGTATAAAAACATGGACGTAGTGTCCGTGACGTCACCTGTAGGTTTCTGAAGAGCGTTTTTGAAGCTCAAAGTGGGCGGAGCTGGCCGTTGCCATCTTGGCAGCGCTTCACTCCCGGATAATAGAAAATGGGCAAAGAGGCGGGAGCTGGTTGCTGAAGCCACGCCCACCTAGCTCGACGGTGGTGACAGCAGTGGCAATCCACCTGTCACTCAAGTGGCCACGCCCTTAATTATGCAGAACTTTAAGGCTTAATATAATTTAAATGGATGAGTTATAAAAAAATTCCCCCCCCTCACAGTTGTCATGAAGGGCAAAATTAGCTATATAGACCAAAATAATTTTTTTTACCATTTGTTTCTGCTGTAAAGTTGGGCATTTTAACATGGGGAGTCTATTGGACTGACTCTCTTTTGCAGCCAGCCTCTAGCGGCCAGTCGATGAATTGCAGTTTTAGTCACTTCCGTGTTGGTTTCACCAGAGACAGCGGGAGGTTGCCGCTTGGCTGTGAGTGAAGAGAGCTGATCTCAGACCAGAAATCACACACTAACCACTCTAAATCACAAAAACACTATTCAAGCAGCCCAAAGACAAACCACAGCTGGAGAGGGTAAAGTCTGAAAGCATTCACTAGGGCATTGTTATTATTTATTTGATGAATAGAATCACATTTATATTAATCAGTCTCATTAAAATGTGAGTTAAATCATTTTTAATATATAAAGCTATCCAATACTAGAATGCTCCTATCCCCATCTGAAGGACTGAAGCTGTGAGTTCACATGGTTTGATGGGATTGTTTGACAGACACAAACAATGACACGTCTGCACCGTGCCGTCCATCACCAATACTCTCATCTCTCTTTAGTGTTTGCTCAAGCTGCTGTCTGCAAGGTTTTGAATTATAAAATACTATCTTGTAGTTATATGCAGTTGACCTCATAAAGAATGTATCCTAAATGTCAAGTGATGGTTCAATCAATAGTGTGAGATCCACCTGATCCATAATTCGGTCTCTGCTGAGTTAAACCTCAGAGAACATGCTTCACATCAGCTCTGCTGCTGACCGACTGTGTGTTTATGTGTTTGCAGAGAGCTGTAGGTGTGAGTGTGTGTGACAGCAGCTGAGTGTGTGTCAATGGAGCTGTTGTGTGAATCAGCACAGCGTAGCTCTTTGTGTGTGTGTGTGTGTGTGTGTGTGTCTGTGTGTGTCTGTGTGTGTGTGTGTGTGTGTGT